TTCTCCTACAAGTTCAATGGAGCAATCCTATAGGATGCGGACTTTTTCAAAGGTTTCATCGTGGAGGTCAGGTGAACCGTGATGAAATGTAGGCAAAACTACCCGCAAATAAAACAGACACGGACCATTACGTCGCGATCCATGAGTTCGACCAAGGGGTGCACACACATCAATAGTGAAGTTCCGAAATAAATGTAGAAGGGTGAAACATCACGCCTGTGGCCGTTTGGCTATGGACGGGATAGCTCGGACTAGATGCCTGTGGGCTGGGTGCACCGGCGTCCGTACCAAAACGCTCACACTAGACGGACCCGCAAACAGTCGCAGGCCTCCACCAGGTGACCTGGTGGAGGCCTGCGTAGTGCTTTCCTGAGGGAGTTCGGAGGCTAAAACAGAGAAGGGAAATGATGAGAGGATTAAAGCCTGCGTCTATAGAACAAGTTGTTCCTGCACGTAGCTATCCGTTTTTAAAGTGTTGCACATCCACACGAGCTAGATTCTGTCATACCATGAGCCGTCAGACGAGCCACTTCGAGCCTCATGTCGCGGTGAAAGTAACCGGCCACGAGTCCATGTAGTGCATGGATTGGATAAGAAAAAACTACCTTCTCTACCCTATCGTTAACCCCTGAATATTTCTTCTGGGTTAGCAGCTACAAATCCAGCGTAATTATAGACACACACAGTTTTAGCTTTCTCTATAATATTCGCTGTTGATCAGGAACTGTTGCTATTTCGAGCGAATGGCGACAAGGATCGTCTTTTATCAGAAATTTTTCCCTAATGCAGCTCTCATCAGCTACTACAAATTTTTAGTGAATTTGGAACGGCAATGGAACAAATCGATTATTCGAAATCAATATGAATTCTGTATGTCGTCTGCGTTCAGCCACCCTCGTCCTCTGCTCATCCTCCTGTGAATCTATCGACAACATGAAATAACACCGTATGTACCAAGCGTTAGCCAATCAGTGCCTGGAGCAGCGGGTCTCCGTTTCGCGCACGTGTTAATTACCAACATTCCTGGTAAATAGTCCAGCTGCGCCTCCTCTTGCCCCGAGCCCAACTTCGCAGATCTTTAATGAGCACCGCAGGGAAACCACCAATTTCTCCATTTATATTTCTCCATTTAAGTGTGCGTGAATTTAAATGACCGGCCGTAGAACAGCGGCTTTCGAAACGGCGCTATCATGGGAGCCAGCTTCTGCTGGAGCCGACAAAGGCCGGGCTCGATTTCTATGCGCCAAAGTGCGGCTCAATTCTGCCTGGAGGGGACAGCTTGGATAACATTCCCACCAGTCTCATTTCTTATTACTGTCAGTCACCCACAGTGCGGTTTGATGGAGCGATTTCGACACTCAGGAACTGCATTGCGCCTCCCGACATCAATGGATGCCGACCGAAGATGCCTCCTGAACTGGCACGGCCCTTCTGCAGTCCACACACAACTGGCTGCAGTCCACACACAACTGGCTGCAGTCCACACACAACTCGGTCCAGTCATAGTGGGAGTCTCCACAGCTCGGTGCGGCCACAATGGGAGTCACCGCAGCTCGGTCCGGTCGCAGTGGGAGTCACTACAGCTCGGTGCGGCCACATTGGGAGTCACCACAGCTCGGTCCGACCGCAGTGGGAGTCACCACAGCTCGGTGCAGCCACAGTGGGAGTCACCACAGCTCGGTCCGGTCACAGTGGGAGTCACCACAGCTCGGTGCGGCCACAGTGGGAGTCACCACAGCTCGGTCCGGTCACAGTGGGAGTCACCACAGTTCGGTGCGGCCACATTGAGAGTCACTACAGCTCTGTCCGGCCACAGTGGCAGTCACACCATACTCCATGAACTGCACTCTCGCTCAGTGACTCCAACACCAGCTCAGAATCAGGTGTGGCTTTTGCGTGCTGACACCAGTGGCAGGAACTGAGGCCGGCTATGCACCGGACGTATTTTTCTGGACCACTGCGTCCGACCGGCTCCTATCGGCGCGCTCGTTAATCAGCCGGCGGCGTCGGATCGCGGCTGCTGGTGCGGAGCAGTGTGCAGCGGCCTGGCCCCCGCCCTGCTGCACGGCTCGCTCGCCTGATGATCATGCCGCTCGGTGCCGTTGGCCGTGCGCCCGATTGAACTTCAGCACTAAAGCATGGTATGGTAATAAGTGGGTTCAGAAGTACTCAGAAGGCATCGTTGCCCACTCTGTATCGTCAAGTCAGTCCCCGCGCTTCTACCGGAAGAGACGAGCATTCCCTACAGAGTCAGTATAAAAGAAGCCGGTCGTGCTGACGTATATCTCTCACAGACGAGCAACGCTAAGTTTTGTTTTGATTCGCCACCCAGTAAAAGATGAAGAGGAGTGCCACCACTTCGGTCCACCGCAGAGCCAGTTTTATATCAGGGAACATGCGGGGAAAGACAGGAAATCCGGACGAAACAGAAACTTGCCGTAATTTTTGATAATTTTGGTGTGTTGAGGATGCTTGTATTGATTTTTTGGTAGCTCTTCAGCATTTGTTTTTCGAACAGAATAAGTGAAATGCAGCTCGTCGGTATATTTTAGTGGTTAATTTTGGGGGGGAGGAAGCATACCTTCGTTGAATTTTATCGACTTCTGTAAGCGGAACAGCATTTTAGTCCACAAGCTAGTCTTGTGGCATGGCGTTGTTTTACGTTCATTGGTAACTAGACTTTTGTCTGTTAGGTCAAGAAAAGATGCAAAGAGGTTTGTTTTCTGGCTCACCTGCTGTGGAACAAAATGACGTCTCAGGGAATGGGCTGGACGCGATTTGAATCAATGCCGTTCTACCGCTATTTTGCAACGTGCTCTTTCCTGATTCTATTAGCTAAGACATGGTTTAATCGCGATTCTGACTCGCCTGCAGACTGATTATGACGCCGGTCCGCCAGAGGTGGCGCCACGGAGCCAGCCGAGGGAACAGGCGCCCACCAGTCGTAGCCTCCGTGAGGTGGGGAGGGGGGACACCGAGGATGACGAAGGGCTCGCTGCTGGTGAAGAGCCTCCTCCCCCCCGGAAAAAATCACAGAAAATGCCCCACTTTATCATCGGGGTGGGGCAACTGCTCATTTCATTTTTAGTTCAATTTTTTTAAACGGAAATGAAAGCCAAAAAGCTATCAGAAGACTCAATCCTGCTATTGTTAAGATGTCAGTGAAATAGATGAACCAGGTAGGTATGACATTCCTGCATCGAAGAATCCACCGATAACATTCCCTTTACGATGACTCATTGGACCCCTTCTAAATCGATAACAGTAGGGGATGTTGCTAGAATTATTGGGAGTTTACAATAAACTTGAGGGGCCTTGTGGATTAACACCAGTGTAGGCCGGAACAGGGTTAACAATTTGCATTGGTGTGGCCAACCCACATCCTCCGGGAGTATCTATTCTTTCTTCAAAATTGGGAAGCAAAAAAAAAATCAGAGGGTTTTGGGCACGCATGCTCATTTTGGGGTCAAACAACCTGACACAAAGCGATACGGTCTCCGTATGCAGCATCTTGTCGGTCGCGCAGCTGCCCTCCGGTAGCAGCCGAGGGGTGGGCAGATACACCCACGTATCGGAAAGCAGTACTTCGGGACGATTTATGGCATAATTCGTGCGTGTGGAAGATGGTCCGGGTCGCGGATTTCACGAAAGCAATTTTCAGATTGGGACGCAGAACGGATAAGCATGTACGGCACCACGAACTCTTGACATAATGTTGGAACCTCTGTCGCTCGTGTCGCTGTTACTGCTAATGGGCCCAGAGAATCGACTTTAAAACATCACACGTGGAATAGATGCCCCATTCTAAGCGTTGAACGGTAAGAATTGATTGCAACGGGTTTTCGGAAGCATTCTCCCCGACTGCATGGCCCGTTCTCGCGCGCTCGCCGCCCGCCGCCCTGCGATGGCCTACATCACGGGGCTCAACGGAGACTGAGGCGACGGACATGGCTGCGTTTGTTTCTATGAATGACGAGTGTGTATGCGCAAGATCACTTTATCTAACGTGGTTTTCACTTACATATTCTGAAAACTGACGTACACCCTCGTGTAAACATGAAATCATTTCCTTTCAAAAACAAAATCTGACACCGTTTCGATAAACCCTACTGAACAATAAGGAGGGCCCTAAGCTTTTCGGACAGCGGACTCCGTTAACCTAGAACACTAGAGGGGCCTATTACCTTTCAAGGTAATGGACAGAAGGGCTCTTCCGTTAAAGTCCGGTGAACTTACCAGCTGACAATCTAGCCACACGGAGGACCCCTGATCGATCCGAAGGCCCCCTGAGGGATACGCCAAACATCGGTCTCCTCCCTGGCGTGGAGGCTCTTACGTCAGCGCTCATTAAAGCCCTGCAGAAAGGAAATAAATGAGGAAGTCTAAGTAACCTGTCCCCATATCATAAAAAGGCCGCAATAGGCTCCACGACAAGACTGTATAAATATGTACATCTAAACTGCGCCAGGATACGAGAACTGTTAACGCGGAGGAGTGGTCGGATTGTAGTAACACCACCCATATACGAATCCCATGCGTTCGTTCCGCACAACACACGCTTCCTTGCCTTCGGTTTGGATTTCGAGAGGATGGAAGGGGTTTACTGACATGGTCACCTAACCTTATAGGAATCAAGTTTGCTGGACTCTATGTCTGTCTTTGAACTGGATACGGAGGAAGGTACGGTATGCTATCTTCGATTGATATCCAACAAATTCCGATCAACTGAACGAAAGTCGGCTGCTCGCCTTCAAGTGTAGCCTACGGACGAAAATGTTGCCGAGACGGGAACACTACTTCCGCCTATTCGCCTCCCATGGTGCTCATGCAAACAATGACTGCAGTATTAGTGCAGCTTAAAGAAAGATCACAATGCAAAAAAAATATACCAAACGAATAAAGAAAGCATGCTGATCTTCCCAGGCATTTAACTACGACCCGATGTATCAATGCGTCTGGCCCCCAGACGCCCACTGCTTGTCTCGCAAAGCACCCTGCCGTCATATGTCAGGTACACAGAGCCCGGCCGTTCTGTACTGGCCGCGGCAGTACTGCAGACGGCCCCTGCGGGTGTCCGATGGGGGCTGGGGACAGCAGCGGCAGGAGGCCGCACTCCGCCAGAGACCGACAGCGGTGAAGGATTGGCTTCACGCAAGATGGAGGCTCGGCCAGACAGCGCGTAAGATGAGAGGACACAGCGTGGCAGGAATGAAGGAAGAATACTGCACATCAATGAAGAGAGGGCCTGACGTCACAGCAGTGTAGTGGCAGGATTGGTCCATGGAGCTGGATCGCAAAAAGTAATCAAGAATGAATCCTGATCATAAATTAAGTACGCACACAAACTACCTGATCGTATGACTTCCTTGCAGCGCCGAATACGAATAAAATGCAGTCTATCCTTCCTTAAATCAGCTTCGCCTGACATATTTGGCCTTTTCCCAATAGCCAACGAAACAACGTACATCATTGCACACACAGACGCCGTCAACTAAAACTGCCAGGTCTGCCCAGGCCCGTTCGTCCCCAACTCCCAACCGTCACCCAATCCGACCTTAGCAGCAGACCTCTCAGGATTACCCGCACGATAATCATAGAAAATCCTCACGTCCGTCCTCAGCTACCTCGTGCCAGGACTTGCCAGGACGTGCCTCGACAGGACCTCGTGCCAGGATCACACTCCCCTGGTGCAAGTGCGCATGTGTGGACTCCAGAGCTGCGGTTCCGTGACCACACTGTGTTCCCACGTGCCCGGCACGGCAAGCGCGCGTCGCTGTTTTGCAGATGGCGCTAACGTCGCCTATTTAAAGTCACGAGCCAGTAATGAAACCAGCGAACACATTCACTCAGGACCATAGTTTAAATCATTTATCGCGTTATCGCCTTTACCGACTTCACGCTCAACCACCTCACACAGCAAAAATAGTACGGTTTATTCTCCTGAAAATCAAGTATACAAAATGTCTATCAAAGCGTAGTAAAACGTACAGATTTGTACAAATGTCGAGCATAATATCAGTTCATAACAGTCCTGTTTACGCAGACCATCGCGACTCGTTCAACAAGGCTTGTGCATCGGAAGCACACAACAGTTCCCTGCGGTAGTATCACTACGTCAATACTGAACAGTTACAGAGCGAGCGAGTGAGCGGAAGTGTGTGTATGTGGGAGAGGACGCCCTAGAGGCCGTAGGGCGGCGCGGCGCCGCGCCGCGACTTCTGCAGCGCCTCACTCCAGAACTCGCGCTGCTGCTCGAGCACCTGCATCTCGAGCGAGTGCCGGGCGGCCATGTACTCGGCCTCGCGGCGCAGCAGGCGCATCTTGTACTCGTGCTCGAGCCGGCGCAGCTCGAGCGCCGCCTCGCCGTCGTCGGCCGGCTCCGGTGGCCGCTTCAGGCCGCGCCGCTCGCCGCCGCCGTTGGCCACGCCCACGTCCAGCCGGCTGGAGAGGCGCTCGCAGAGCGCCGGCGGCAGGCCGTGCCCGTTGGCCAGCCGGTGCAGGTCGGGCAGCGCGGCCGGCGGCGGCGGCCCGATCGGCCGCACCCACAGCCCGCCCGGCGGCCGCCACCCGCCACCCGGCAGCGAGACGGCCGGCGGCGGAGGCGGCGGCGGCGGGGGTGGCGGCGGCTCGGGCGGCGCTCCCAGCTCCACCGACAGGTAGTCGCTCGGGATCGGGTACATGTCCAGCTCTGCCGGCGGCGACGGCTGGCTGCCCTGCCAGCGGCCCGGCGACTCCTCACGAGACATGGCCGACGTCTCCAGGTCGGACGCGTCCGGAGGCTCCGGCAGTGCTGAGCCTGTGGGCAGCGACGGTCGCGCCGCCTCTGAACCTGTGGGCAGTGACGAACACGCGGCTTCTGAGCCTGTGGGCAGCGACGGACACGCGGCCTCTGAGCCTGTGGGCAACGACGGACACGAGGCCTCTGAGCCTGTGGGCAGCGACGGACACGAGGCCTCTGAGCCTGTGGGCAGCGACGGACGAGGGGCCTCTGAGCCTGTGGGCAGCGACGGACGCACGGCTGCTGAGCTGACTGCCAAACAGCCGTCAACTGCGTCTGGAAGGTGCTCAAAGACAGCTCTTCCGATGATCACTTAACTAAACGGCAGGCAACAGCAACAACCGACTTGTATACCGACTGTTAGTTTCAACACAAGATCACGCAAGCACCTGATTAGACACAAACTCCTCCACCGCACAGAACAGGAAAAGATGCCTCTGTTCGTGCCGCATAGGCAGCACAGACCAGGAGGCAGATAGCGACACTATGCATCAATTTCCCGCACCGCCAAAGCAGCGCCCGTGCCGCCGCGTGGCCAGCGCTCACCGATCTGTGGCTTGGCCTCGTGCTCGGGCGGCGCGTCCACCACCTCGCAGTGGATGTCCAGTAGACCCTCGAACTGCTCGGGCGCCAGCTGCGCGATCCGCCACAGTACGCGGTCCACACGGGCCGTGCCGCCTGCCTCGCGGCCCGCGTCCAGCGCCTTCTTCGTCTTCTGCTTCAGGTTCCAGTAGCACTTCTTGAGCTCGGTGATGCTGCGTTCCAGCGCCGAGTCGTTGAGCTCGTTGAAGCGCGCCTGGATGTCGGTCCAGGCAGCCACCTTTTGCTCGCTGGTGACGCCGTCGCCGGTGCGCGACTCGACCACGTCGCCGTGCCGCTCGATCAGCGTCACCAGCAGGTCCTTCTCCTTGAACGAGTAGTTGTACTTGCGCTGCCGAGCGGCACCCTGCCGCAGGTCGCCGCCGCCCTGTCGCAGGTCGCCGCCGCCCTGTCGCAGGTCACCGCCGCCCTGTCGCAGGTCGCCGCCGCCCTGTCGCAGGTCACCGCCGCCCACCAGGCTGACGTCCAGACCCGCCGGCAGCGAGACCGTCGACACGCAGTGGGCGACGTTGCCGTTCATGGCGCTGATCGCGGCTGGCCGCTCCCTGCCGGCCGACAGGCAGCAGCCAGATCAGCCGAGCATCTTCGGAGAGAGGCTATCACGTGAGATGTGACTGGCTGACATGTACGGGATAGCACGATGACAAACAGGTCCTGTCCCGTACTGTCAGGAGTCGACTTTTTCCTCATGTATGAAAGCACTCCTGGCAGTTTTTGTACACCACCACCACTCGTCAAAAGAGGAGTAATGGCGAGCAGAGAAGTAGTAGTGGTACAACCTATCCAGTGATCTGCTTGCCTTGGGTATCTCAAAATGCTTTTTGTAATGTCAAAGTTGTTTGATGTTCTAACTAGCTGACCAGCTAGCTGGTTGTGATGCATCAGTAGCTGTGTTTGATTGTTAAGTGGTGCCTACAAATCTAGCACATACAATATTTGCCAACTTTTACAGATCACTATTTCATGGGGCAACTGCAAGGCACTGATCATTTATCATTCTGGCTAACTGTTCAAACAGGTTCGTGCAACTCAGCATAAAAATTATCTTTATACCCTGGCTTATCATGTGTCATGTCATGTCATTGGGGCTTTATGACGCACTCAGCTGCTGAGGCTATACGGCATCGCCTGCCTCTCACCCTGGCAGGAAGGGCGGGCACCGCGGGGAATCGAACCCTGTACAACCCTGGCTTATCCAGTGATGTCAAAAAGTGCAAAGCTTCTACAGGAATGAACATTTTAATTAATGCCATTGTATATTTGAGTTTACAGGTACCACAAATGCCAGGCCTTACAGCTCCCAACAATGTCCTGCTGGGACTAGCCACATAGCTTCCATAGCATAGCTTCCAAAGATATCATGGCACCATGCTTGATGGCATGCCTGGTTGTGATATGGTAACAGGCCTCCCATGACCATTCAATATTTTAGGGACTAATTAAGGGTGTTTTATTATCTTAGGAAATTTCCTTTGTTTTGGTATGGTGAACTGATGTCAGAAAGGTCACTGAGAATTGCAAATAGTAAAATGGATAAACCCTGATATATGCAGGGAATGTGCATCTTCCTGCCACAAATACACTGGATCCAAAAAGATAGGAGCAAATTGTTGACAGCTGATAGTTGACAGCTGACAATGATCAGTTACATGTTCAATCCCACTGAATGAATAAAAGCATTTTATGACTGCAAAATAGATATAAAAGAAAACAAATGGGAAATATCATGGCAGGATGAATCCCATTTGCCTAGAATCAAAATTTTTCAACACAGTCTTTGTGGTTACTAACAGCATCCTAGCATATGCAGCCATACTAACATGTCTGTCAGCCCTTCCAATATGCCAAAATGCATGTAGCTTTGCATCACTAGGCTGCACCAAACATGCTGATCGTGCATGTGTTCAACATGAAATTGATGAAATGCTCAAGTAGAATGTTGCATGCATCTGTATTGGCTGACAAAGGAGCCCTTGGAAAACAATCACAGATTTGTATTGCAAATGCACAACAGTTGCATTGTGCAGGATGAAGCACTCAAAAAATACTTAAGAAGTTTTGGCTGCAGCACCAAAGATGTTACATAACTGCCTGGCGCAATTCTGAAAAATATCTGACAGCTCACAGCAAACAAGCATAAGAAGCAAGCAATCCTGCAGATTTGAGCTCAATGTGATTCAATTTGGTTTCAACATAAAGAAAAGACTTTGGAAATTCTTTGTGAATCAGCTGGTTACATATCAACTTGAAAAGGACATGAAAATCCCTACCCTTGCACATGATTTAGAACAACATTTCATTTCATTCCATCATTTAGATGACCTAGACCAATGATGAATATATGAATATATGAAAAGCATGTATATTTACATGGGTCCACAGCAAGACAGAGGAAATTTGAGTGATGAAGAGCAGCACTTTTGATTGCTGACATAACCAGAATGTGTGGCAGTGCTTACAATTATTTCAGATGTGGTTAATCTTTTGTATATCTGGCTATAACAAAGTTGACAAGAAAAAGTCTGAGGATGGAATAACCATGCAATGTATTCTAAAAATACATAGCTGAAACTATTATCTCTTTCTCATAAATATATAGCTCCAGGAGGAACCATTAATGTTTCAGACCATGCAGACATTTCCTTTCTGAACATGCCACACATGTGTAGATAACTGGAAATATCTTAACATGGTCAAAATTCTGGTTAACACATAAAATGAGACAAGGTAAGGTCTAACCATTGCAAATGACTGGGTTTTAGAATTTCTAGATTTATGAAGTCTTATTTGCAGATAGCTCAAATCATGATCTGCATGTGATTGTAAGAAATTTGTTGGAATCAGAATCAGAGACCAAACCAGCCATTCTTTTTGCTTGAACTACTAGCTGACAAAGCATACTTACTGAAAACTATATTATTATACTTAATTATACTTAACATTAATTTTCTCGAGGTTTAATTCACATGGAGTTCAACCTAGTCAACCTGGTAAAGGTCTCAAATCATACAACTTTCCATCTTGTGGCTCCTCGGTGTGTGTGAAAAATGCATACATTCTTTGAAGCATCAACTGTTCCTCCATCACCCGATTTAGCAGTGCCAACAACCATACCATTGTCATTATCATTGGAGCTTTTTAACGCAGTCAGCTGCTGAACATCATGACATCGCCTCTCGGCCGGGCAGAAACAGGAGGCAACGCGAGGAATCGAACCCTGTTACTACCACACCAACACCCGTCCGTTTTCCCACGCGTCGTTCCAGCAACACGCAGAACAGCACTGCGTGCGTTGCCCACCAGCATAGGGCCTGGGCTGGCCCAAAACAGTCATTAATGGCTTTAAGACCATTGAAATACTTGCAGATGATGTTATGCCATAATCACCTGTCTCGTAATTACCCGACCGCTGCAGTGCACCTATTGCAACACCTGAACCGCAACAACAAAAAGTGGAACCGACCATTACGG